TCCCGCCGATGTATTGTATGAACCTACGCTTAACATCTCTACAGAACATTCCTCTGTTTCCCCCCATCCAATTCCGTTCGTGTGAGCTGAGCCCCCTGAGAATCTAATGAGTGAAAAATTGCAGAAGCAAAGAAGGCAGAAAATGTATGGGACCGCTCTGTGTTTTTATTTTTATATATTACACATTTTATCTGCTTCATCTACTTTATTCTAAGCTGCCTAGAGTCACGTACGGGAGGTGGGTGGCTATATAAATCCAATAAATAATGAAAATAAAATAATGAGCTGGTCGAGGCGAGTTGCAAAACGTGAGCAAAGCCGAGATGCGAAGCCACATTTTTAAAAATATACTTCTTGTGCCTTCAAAGACGCCAAGTACTTCTGTGCAATGCACAATCAAACCTGGGTGTGATCAAAGCCTCCTTGTTGCAATTTCATACACAAAACGCAATTATAACAAAAAAAAAGGATAGGCATGCCTACAAAATACACCCACAGCTATAAAATGCATACCAATTTTGCAATCCAGCTTGGTGAATACAAGTAGTCTTTTGCTTACAACAGCCTGTTTGGGGACCATTTGAAGTTTACAACAGCCCTGAAAAAAGTGACTTACGACCGTTTTTCACACTTAACGGCCGCTGCAACATCCCTGCATCACGTGATCGAAATTCAGACGCTCAGCAATGGACTCGTATTGATGACAGCTACGGTGTTCTAAGGTCATGGGATCTCCTTTGATGAGCAGGAAGCTAGATTCCCTTAACAACCACGTTACTCACTTAGTGTCCACAGTGATTCACTTAATGTCTGTGGCGAGAAAGGTCATAAAATGGGGCACAGCTCCCTTCACAGCGCTCTTGCTTAGCAATATCCCAAGTGCCGTCTTACCACGGCATCATCAAGTGGTGTTGATTCTATCCATCTACGTCATCTTGATTCGATCCCTCTCTTAATGCTGGGCTCAGTTGATGGTCGTAAGTCAAGGATGTGCCGTATTCCCAAATTCAACCTTTATTGATTAGCCCTTGGGCCCTATCAAAATGCCGAATTCCGGAAATAAATTATTACTAACATTTGATAAAATACAATTTTCAATGGAATTGGAATACAATGGAATTGGAATACAATTTTTCAATGGAATTGGAATAAAATACAATTTTCAATGGAATTGGAAT